CTTGTACCTGATACATTGGTCAGCTCTGAAGAATGCTCTCCTGTTTTGCTGAAGGATGTAAACTTCAAGTGAATGCAATAGTATTGGGGGTGAACCTCAACTGAACTTCAGCTATAGTTTTCTTTGGTGGTGGTTGTAATAATAGTAGGCAGATGTTCAGACAAGTCCACCTTTTTCAATTTAAGTTGACAGGGTTATTTTCAAAAGTCCCATAGAAAAGTTGCTGTTTTTTTTCCTACCCCATCAATGACACTTCCATTAGAATGTACTACAACCGGCAGACCTTTATTCCGACTTAAACTTCCAGTTCTGATACAAGACTTAGAAATCTGCTCTGACAGCCTTTACTCTTTAAAAAAAAATTTGCCTGAGGAAAATCCATAATTAGGGTAAAAAAAATTAGAAAATGAATTATTTTATTGCTTGAGAAGTTGGGGCAAATAGTAATGACGTTGGGGAATTCATGTTCTCAAGAATGCAAGAGAATTCACCAAGTGGGTATGAGCAGCTTCCAGTACTAAACATTTTTATGTTTCTTACTGCAGCTAATTTCTAAGCGTCTGGAATCAAGAAAGGCTGGCTTTAGCAGTGTTTCCAGTAGGCACCTGTGTATTAACTATGCGAGCTCTCACCTATTTAGGTCATAGCTCATAATAGTTTCTACTTTGTGAAAGCCTAAAAATAAAACCTAATTAATATAATCTTAGATGAAACCTTTCTCCATCTTCATAGATTTACAAAGGAGTGTAATTGGGATTAAGGAAAAAAAATTTTTTTTAATCTCCCCCCACCCCCTACACTTTAAACTGTAGCTTAACACTGAAGAAAGACTTCACTGTAAGTAAATGCTTACACAAAAGATATTCTTGCTAATAATTTACTTTAATTTCTTTCTGGTTGGGGGTCTTGTGACTTGAGCCATACAGACAGAGCTATCCAAGCATCAGCATTATCTATGTGTGGCGTCAGGAGGATAGTGTTATGTAAGTAAATGGTTATGCAGAAAAGAACATCATGAAAAATGTATAGTGTGTTTTTGCTTCAGTAAGTTGGTAGCTCTGGCGAATGGAGCGAGATTGACAATTCTGGAAGCCGAAGTCCTCTCTCTATCCACAGAACACACACAGCATAGGCAACAGGAGACTCAGCTTCCCCACAGTGCCCTTCAGGTGTGCCTTCGCCCTGTTCTGGAGGAAATGCCTTTAAGCAGTGGGAGGGTATTTCTGTCTTCATTTCTATTCAATCTTTGGCACCTCTTCCCTGGTAACAAATACCAGTCAGTACCACTTGTGGTAATTCTCTGAACTGGACTTTCCGCTAAGGTGTGGAGAGAGGGAGAGTAACTCTTTTGAACTAAAATTCCTCTGGATAGTCACTGTTGCAAGTAAGAGCAGAATTTGACCTTCAATCTTTTTCTTAGCCTGAAGTTGAGCAGAAGTTTAATTTTTGAAATTCTTACCTGGACTTTGGTGTGTGAACCCTGAAAGAACTTACCTCTTCTCCAGTGGGATTAAAAGAATGTTACCACTAACCAAGGAAGCCTTGGTGTCTGTGTAATTATTCTCTTCTTAGTTTGGTATTTACTAAAACTTCATGCACACTTAAAAAGTTGTAACTGACAAGGATGCACAGAAAGAGTCCACAAAATGTTTTGTGACAAGTATGTGTTGGGCTCTGTAGTGAGGACTGTCTCTTGCTAGAAAACAAGCAAAAACCAAAAAAGGTGTTGTATGCTGGGGTTCTGGGTGCAGTGGAGAGGATAAGATTCTGAGAAATACAGATCACCACAAGTATAAAGTATCTTAAGACAGAAACTAGGGGGCCATATAGAGGTGATCTCTGAAATGTTGGTGAAATTGACAAAGCAACATAGAAACCCTCTTTGGAATTCTATAGTTCACACTTCTGTGGAAATGTAGGCAGCTGTGGTGTGTCTGGAAATATGTTAAGAACTAGTAAACTAAACTTTAAGGTTGGGGGGTGGATGTGGGGTGGGGACTGATCAAGAACAGGATAAGAGCACCTTTTAGAAAGCAATGAGAAGTTGATATACCCAATATTTGTGAGCTGACATAAATATTTGTTTTGAAATTGAATTATATTTACATGCAGTTTTAATAAATGTCACCTTTTAGCTTTCATTGTGGGGGTCATAAGTTTTGTGCAGATCTTTTGCTGGATGATTTCATTTCCTCCTGCCCTTTGGGACAATCAGAAGTGCGTATCTTAACAATGTGTCCTTCTGAACTTTTGGCATACTTCACGCTTGTGTTATTATGTGGGAGTGGGGTGGAGGAAACAGACATATATATCTGTATCCTCTTGTTCTTCCTGTATTCATGTTTTAAACAAAATCCCAGAGTTCAGGGAGGGACTGTCTGTCTGTCGGTCTTCCAGGTTCAAAGCCTTTTTTGCAGGTTAGAGAACCAGCAAGTGAAAACATTCAAACACAAGAAATGCTTGGTGAGCTGTAATTGTAAACATCAGTGTGGCAGTAGGCAAAGATTGTTCCTCTGTCTGGTGTAAAAACAGCGCAATAAGTAGTCTGAGCTTCAGGGAATCTGCATTCCTACTCCCAAGCATGGTTGTAGTGTTTTGTCATTACTCTCTCTCTCTAATTCGTGTACACCAAAGTGAATGCAGTACTTGTATAGCAGTTCAGAGCCAGAGAGAGAGAGAACATCACTACATCATGTAACTAATATGTAAAATTATACTAGTATATTTATGTTGATTGTTAACGTTGTCAGCCTGATTTGAGTGTATCCTTTTTAAAACCTTTTTCCCCTCCCTCTCTGTAGTGTTAAACACTCTCTCCTATAACTTCAAAACAGACTAATTGTGGGATTTTTCTTTGCCTTCCTGACAGCAGTGCTACTGAATTTAGAACTCAGGGTGCCTTGATTTGGTAGCTGATGTCGTATGCCTCTTAACATCCGTGATGCAGGTATTACATTAAATTAGCACTCTGTGGCATAAATACTTACGCTTTTCTCCCTGGCCTATTGTTCTAACTTCAGGCCAAGTATAAAAATGAAGAACCAGCAGTTAACAATCATCTCTTGCATTGACACAGCCCAATTCTCCTCTCTTACATCCATGTAACTCCACTGTAGTCAGTGGAATTACTCCTCTCTTATACCAGTCTGTGAGAATTTGGAGACACATTTGTTTTTTATTGTAGACTGAAACCCGCTCGCCCTTACTTGGCCCCTTTCCATTTTTCATGCAGGCTGATAAGCAACTGCTTGTGTATTTGATGGCAATGTTACATCCCGGTCATTGGAGGGTATTTATTGCTCAGAGTATTCTGGTCTCTTTCATTTCCACTTCTTGGTGCTTTGCTCTGAGATAGAGCACTGCAGTAGGGCTAACTACTTGGCCTCCTCTGTGCTTTTAGAAGTCAGTTGCTCCTATGGATTCTACAGACGGAGTAGATGAGCACAGTGGGAACTGGAGCTGAATATTTGATGGGGTATTTGACAAAAAGAATCAGGGTTTTTATTATTTGCTGTACTTCACCATGTGTGTTGTAACCCTTCTCTCAAACACTACAGAGATATGAGGGGTTATATAACTATCTAGCTAGATAGCAGAAACATTAGTCATTAATATATTATTTTAGTATTAAAACAATCTTCCATTTCCACACTCGTAACCTGATCTTTTAACCTATTCTAAGCCAGCAGTAAGCTGTGCAACAGCATTGTCGAGGAAGATAATTGTTTCTGCCATAACTGCCCCAAATCTAATTGCCTGCAGCAAATGCAAGCCACAAATCATCATGAATGATCCTGCACGGCAGTGAGTGAAATATGACTGGTGTGACCTACTTCATTTGCATATTAAATGTGCTAGACATTTTTATGGTTTTTTTTCTTGTTTCCTAGGAAACCAATGCTGGGGTATAGTAGTGAACAGTAATTGCATGGAGGGTGCTGCATGTCTGAAGCTTTGTTCTTTTGTAGACAGGAGGCTATAAAAGGGGAAAGGGCTGGAATTTTAAGAATATCTTTAACAAAAAACAGGACAAGGGTGTACATGTTTTATGCTAATGAACTAAGTTTCCAACATTTCGTACAAAAATGCTCCAAATATCAAACAGGAATATTTATAATGTAGTAGGTCATTTGGGTATGACTTGTACAAAGGGTCATTTCAAGGCACTACTAAAGAAACTGAATGCAAATGAACATGAAGCTGGCTAGTCTGTTTTCATTGTCCTTGCCGAACGCGTGCAACAACAGTGGTATTTGTTAGTGGGTGAATTAGACATAATGAAATGGAGAATGTTGTCAGAAGACTGAGCATGTAAGTAGGAGAGGGAAACTAGATGGAAATAGAAATTAAATTAGTGGTAAATCTCGGGAGAGAAAAGTGGAGATTTCAAGAGAATTAAGTACATTTAGGGAGAGAATAAAACAGTTGTGACCCTTCAACTAGTGGTGGGGGGAGGAAAGGGAGAGGAGGAGAAGGGCAGGAGAGAGGCCTGCTTTGTAACTGTGCTGTGCAACTCATTTAAAAGCGATCTCTTAGCTTTGCCTGTACTACAGAATTTTACCATTGGGGCTTGCATGTAGTAATGTGTGAGGACGTGATAAAAGTGCTGCAGAGCCTGTTGCACAAGTCTTGGTGCAGTTTCCTGGAGCAAGTGCTTAATACCTATGGTATAGAGAACATATGACTGCACCTGTTCTTGTTCTTGGTTTGTTCCAATGGATGCTTTGACCTGCATGAAGAGCCAGGCATACATTGTGAGATTCAGGAGCTTCTGCTAAGCCCTCTTGCTTGCACTGAAGATGCCATGGTGAAGAGTTGCAAGCCACTACCTGAATGATTCTAGGGCTGGAGGTTATTGTGAAGAGCACTGCTCCTGGGGGGAAGCAGTGCTCGAGGAGGTAAGGCGCTTTATTGATATGTCTTTTACTTGATATGTTGTTGTTGTTGTTCTTGGCTGTTTCGCTGACATAGCTTTTTCCCCTCCTTCTCATCCCATGCAGTGTACTGAGAACAGAATGGTGTGGGCCCAAGTTTGGAGGGATAAGATCCAAGCCAGGTAGCTCCACGGAATCATGCCAATTTCTTCCCCCACCTCCTTCACTGATGGCCTTGTGGGAATTACAGACAGTCAAGAGCCCCACTGGGTTATGGGCAGGCATGGGGAGGTAAGTAGAACTAGAGGATGTACCTGGGAATGGATTAATCCCGTTAAGTTTCAATGTTGGTTGTTAATGATATTACTTTTTGTGTTTTCAGGAATCTGGGAGAGGCAATTGTCTCACTCTGATGCAGACTTCAGGTCACCATAAGGTATTTGTGTATAATGTTTACTGTCCTTTCTCTAAGGCTGGTATTTCTCAGGAGCTGAAGACCTAGTGGTGCTAAAATAGGTCTATAGAAACATATGTATATTTAAAAACATTTTTATTATGAAGTAAAATTTCAGAAAGTTTTATTTGTAATATACAATAACAATTCTAAGGCTTTGAAATAAATTTTAATTTGCATGTAAAAGGACTCCATGTCTTGAATATTGGGGTGGAGGGAAGCACAGGGCAGAGCAGAGGTCAGCCTAGAACTACCTTGTATGCACTTGTGCCTGTGTTGACGTAACAGCTGCATGGTTTTACAGGTGACACAGCCATTAGGTGTCACTGAAGGCTGAGCAGGAGCATTACAGGACTATGCTAAGAGGACCATATACTCTGTTGGAGCAGCTGCACCAGCACTTGCTGCCTAGCACAGTGTGGTGTAAGGTGAAAAGGTGGTGAACAGCGTGGTGTTTAGCTTTGCTCAGAGCCAGCACAGTAACAACCGTCGTGTGAATGCCTGTGTGCTAACGCAAGCATGTGAGTGTGGTGCATGTGCGTGGGTGTGTGTTGAGTTGCAGACATGCCAAGAGCTTGCAGTGGTGCTTAAAATGCCTTACAGCTGTGCAGCAGACAAGGCTTGAGAGCCGTTAAGCTACAGGGATTTTTGCACAACAGTTCTGTGACTATAATTGATGGAAATCGTGGTGGGGAAAATTAACAGGATACAAAGCTTTAATTTATTTGCCATTAGCAACACAGCAAAGCCTCTTAAGCAAATATGAGGCTTACTTTTCTCCAGAGTTAAAGGTAATTAATTTATTTTAGTTTTTCACTCTCCAAGGCTTTGGAGTCCATAAAATGTTAGAAATGAAATTTTTCTTTGTATTTGTGTTTAGTTCTCAAGAATGCAAAAACCTGAGCAGCTGCCATTCAAGTGTCATCGTCGTAGCTCTATCTCCATCCCAATGCGTCGTTGCCCATGCTGTTCCTATCCTGTTTGACTTCTGAATAAAGACCCGCTGAAACTGTGTGGTGATTCCCCCCCCCCCCCCCCGTTCTTTTTGTTAGAGCATGGACCAAAATCTGGTCTCTTATCCAGGCTTCAAACCCATGTTTATTAATAATTTATATTAGGGTATTGTTCAGAGGCCCCAAAGGAGATGGGGTGGGAGGGCATTGTGCCAGCTACTGTACAAATTCATAGTGAGAAACAGCCTAAATAGACAATGGATGGAAGGAGAGGGAACAGACGCACAGAGAACTGAAGTGACTTATTGGGGATCGCACAGAGTGTCAGTGGCAAAGCGAGGAATAAAACCCCTATCTCTTGAATTTTAGTTCAGTGTACTTCGTTGCTAGACCACACAGCCTCTCAGTGAAAGAGATATTATCAGTTTATTGCACTGCTTTCTCCTCCGTGAGTGCTTGGGTCTGTGTGCTGTTATTATTCTACATGTTTCTTGTGGTAAATGCCATAATATTAGGTCTTGCGGTACATTTCCCTAAATCACTTGTGTATTTTGTGTGTGTGTGTGTGTATATTTTTAGTTTTAAAGTAAAAGTTACTAAGTGAGTCTAAGGTGATTAGTAACCCTCTCTACTTAATCTTTAGTTTTATCTAACACTTGTCAAAGGCCATGGATTGACAGCCTAGGGTGCTGAATTCCTTTATTTATCCACAGAACAAATACAGTGTGGGTAGTGACAATGCAAACTTCTCTGTGCTGCTTTGTCAAGTCAATATATCAGATATTGCCCACTTGTTTATTTTTCCTAGAGTAGTGTGTGTCTCATGAGGGAAAGTGGATTTTGAAATCGTTTAACCCAAATGATAAATTCTAAGTGATGTCAGATCTTATAAAATAGGTGTGGAAATAAATGATGTGGTAGATGCAGTGTGAATTTTGTAGTTAGCCTGTGCTGAGGCTGCTTTATTTCTCGGCCATGTGGTCATGTGACTTTCTCAGCCATTTGTTAATTGGCCAGTAGTTTTTGCCAGAGAGAGAGAGAGAGAGGCAATAGATTGGACTCTTCCATTGCTCCTGCGTACTCAAGTAGCCAGGGATGTGCAGAAAGAGAGAGAGAGAGAGAAAAAGAAGGAAAAAAAAAAAGGCTCCCATTTCTACCTATGCTTGCCTCGCAGACTATCTCATGTCCAGTCAATACTGTGTATTGAAATGAAACACTACACATTTCTAATTGTTTATGCAGCAACCTTTCTGTGCTTAGAGCACATCACCCCAGTGCCTCCCTTCAGTGGCTTCCATAAAATGCAGAAATCAAATTTAAGGAGTCTGGTCTCCTCTGAAAAGCCCTCCAAGGGACTGGTTCAAGTTGTGAAAGGGGCAGCCTCCCTCCATATGACCTCCCATGACAGCTGCATTCCATTGGAACAATGGAACTGTCAAGCTCAAGGGCAAGACTTTTGAGAGCAGGAGACAAAGCCCTCTCAGCAGCTAGCTTACACTGTACAACGTGCTACCAGAAGAGACCAGAATAACCACAAACTTCAGTGCCTTTGGCCCCGCTTTCATACAATACCACTCCCCAAAATCCCAGTGTCTGGGGTTAGAGAGCGGGAAAGCAATAGATCTGTGTATGTTCACGTTACTGCACGTGTCAGGAGCGTGGTTACCAGCATGATGGCCACTATATGAAAACCTAGGTAGGTAAAATAGTATAAAATGTTTGTTACATTGCCTTAGCCAGTTGGATGGTGCTGGGCTGTCTAGTGGTGTAATAGATATTCTGCTTGTGAATGAATGAGCCATTCATGAAAAGCTGGAGATTAAGTCAGTGTGTATCCGCTCCCCTCTACTGCTTCTTCACCCCTCCCCCTCAAAAAAAGGGGGGTGGGTGGGAGTGAGAATTTTCTTCCTTGAAATGAGAATATTGTATTCAGTTATTAACAGCCATGGATATCTGCACAGTAGAAAAAGGGTAGCTGAGCATCTGGCAGGGAAGATCTAGGTTGCTCTTCCAACCTAGATTAATTTTAACCAGCATGAATAGTGACCATAGCAAATTTTGTGGCATGTCAACAGTAACTTACTGTACCAAGGGTACAGTAACTTACATTGTTACAAGCAACTGTATTCCCCCCTCCTCCCCCCAAAAAATAGTTTGAAACCGTTTCTGCCCCCTCACCCCCAAACAAATCTACAAGGAGGTTTTAATTTAACCAAGTTCACATAACAAGTCGGGTAGAATTGTGACTAGAACCTGTCTCCCAACTCCAAGTGAAGCACCCTATTCTCTGGCTTACTGACTTAGTTTTACAATTGCTCCAGCCTGAGTGAATGAGAGGGTAGGGTTCATCCAGTTATTACCCATGAGCTACTTCTTTTTTTTTTATGGTGCCTGCCATTTACACCATCCAGTTATTAGCAGACAGTAGCCAGTGTAGAATCTCAGTAGTTTATAGTATATTTACGTTACTTGTGTAAAGAAGCATTTGATTGCACATACAATAATGCACAGACTCTAGGCTCACCGTACATGTTATGGAACGCTGGATTAATCACTTCGGGCAAAATTTGTATCACTATGGAAACATCCATTGAAATGTGTTGGTGTTTTGTTTAAACAGATTACTACATAAATAGAACATCTGGTTATTTTCATGAGAACCAGCTTTTCTAGTAAAAGCCAAAAACCTGCAGAGGAGCTGCTGCCAAAATCTAGATGCTCTGTGTGTTAAGGAGGTACCCTCGGAGCTCCATAGTTGAGGTTGCATTGAGATTTGTACTAAGGCAGTATTAAAATTCCCCACATTTTACTCATTAATGATTTGAAACTAGTTTCCAAACTTAACACATTTAATGGCCCAATACATGTTTGGTGTCATATATCCTATCAAACCATATCAAAATGAGCCCTTTTTGAAATTTCTCTGGAGGTGGTTGTGGGGTGTTTTTTGGGGGGGCACTTCACTTCAGACTTCCCTGACACATTAATTCCCACAGCTTCTTCTAGATAAAGGCCACATCTTAAAGTTATAATCTAAACACAGTTTTTTCCCTGTTTTCTTCTAAACTGTTTTATCTCAGCAAGGAAAAGCCAACAGAATTGTCAAGTTCTGCTGGATAGTTCCATGTGATCATGTTGCTACTCTGCATACCTGAACCCCAGTTCTGCTTCACATACACAAGGATGATATGGTGTATTTGTCTTTTTCTATGTGAGTTTGTTTGAGAGTGTAGTGATTGTCTTGTTTCACCCACATAGTTGTTGTACAAGTATTTAAGTGCACTGAATGAGCCACACTGCATGTTATGATAGGCATGAAGGACACATGGATCTTAAAAGGGTGTTTGCGGAGGTGGGGGTGGGAGGGGAATTGATCCTCATAGCAGTGGGGAGGTACGCCTGCTAGTTTTGTCTGCTGTTCTGGCAGGGTGTGCTATCATTTTGAGTAGGTGGGTCCTGGTCTGTGGGGCGCTTGCTTCTGATGATGAGGTTGGGGAGGGAGATGTTGTTTGAAGGCCAGAAAAGGGGGTTCAAGGAAAGATTTCTTTCAGGATGTGGTCCCAATCGAGTATGGGTTTTAATTGTTTAATGATATCCCTTATAGGTTTCAGTATGAGGTGGTAGATGACAACTTAAAGGTATGTGGTAGGAGGGTTTTTTGGTTTTGTTTTTCTCTGTATTGAATCAGGTTCTCTGGTGGTATTTGGGTGGTCCCGTTCTATGATGCAATCTACTTCACTGAAGGAGTGCCCTTGTTTGGTGAAGGCAGTTTTAAGTATGTTAAGATGTGTATCCTGGACTTTCTCCTCAGAGCATGATCTATGTTATGAGAATGGCTGGCCGTAGTGTAGATAATGGATTTATTGGTGTTTCAGGGTGGTTACTGGTTCTGTGAAGGTAAGTGTGGTGATCCATTGTCGTCTTTAGGGTTCCATTGCTGAAGCTGACCATGATGTCCAGGAAGCTGATGCTGGTATGGGATGTTCCAGAGAGAGTTTGCTGGACGGGGGGGTGGTGGTGGTTGAAGAT